GGTAGTGGTGTAAAATTGCTACAGAATTTATAAAATGCATTATGCATTAATTTGATGGGGTATATTCACCATCTCAAGTGAGAGGTGACCACACCTACAAATCCAACTCACTCCAGCCAAACAAAAAATTGGATCACCAAATCCATCTTCAAACAAAACAAAAAACTGGATCGCCATATTCATTCTACCAAACAAAAAACTGGATCGCCATATCCAACAAAGTATGGACCGCCATATCCCATCCATCTTGACTGTGAACCAAACACAACCTAGGCTGATCCGAGCTGAGCTCGAAGTGTGCTGATCTAGTGGTCTGTCACGAGTTTTGAGCTTTTTTTTTTTCAACCCTTATCTCTCTCGATGCTTCAAGGTAGTAAGCAGATTCACCGTTGGCAATTTGGCAACCATATGTGGTGAGTGGTACTCCCTCTGCTATTTCATGTTAGTCGTCGTTTGATTTTTTTTTGCCTAAGTTCATTGAAAAAAATTATTAACATCTAAAATATTAAATTAGTTTTTATTAAATATTGAATATATTTTGATAATATGTTTATTTTGTGTTGATAATATTTATATATTTTTCTATAAACTTGGTCAAACGTAAAGAAATTTGACTAAAAAGTTAGACGAGGTATAATATAAAACGGGAGGAATATCGTTTTTGCATGGTAATTGCATAACTAAATATGATCCATACATGACAAAAATGCCTCGGACCACTCCAACCTTGCACGGCCATCCTGCAGAAGGTTCGAAATTTGAACCACAACCAATGCTGACCAAACTCCACATACATCCAAAAACAGTGTACCATCAGTCGCCCAATCACCACCAAATGCTGACAAATAGACAAAAATTGGCAGCAGATTCCGAGGGAAATACTCGAAGTTTAGAGCCAAAGCAGTTTAAAAGTTTGTGTGATGCTTCGTGGAGGAAAAAAAATAGGAAATAGCTGGCAATATGCACAGCATATGTGCATATTGCGCGCGTTGCTGCGTTCTGGAGTACTTCTGTACTGTTTGCAGCGGTGGGGAAAAAATTTGAATTATCAAGGACATGTCTCCACACATTTTCAAGTACCGTACGAATAATTATAAGTTACTAAAAGTATGCCTATGTGTTACTGTATCGTAAAAACTTTAAATGAGAACATGATTATACATCAAGAGGAAAAAAAAAGAAGAAGAAAACCGGACAAGAGAGGCATGATGATCTAATAGTAGGCGTATCATTCACCTAGCAGGTTTAATGTCCTCAATTATGCATATATGGATATACTTTTCATAGTAATTTAATGATATATGAGATTCACAACCCACCCCAACCGAGCGTGTAAATAAGATTAAGATGACACATTCACAACCGAGCGTGTAAATAAGATGACACATTCACAAATATATACCCCTTTAAATGTTTCTAGGGGTGGCGATGGGTCTGCTGCCCCTACCCCACCACCATTGTCTATCATGTGGGACTATGAATGAAAACGGAGCGGATAGTTTCCGTCCGCTCCGGAGAAAAACGAATACATATACCTTTCGGAACGGATAATTTTCAGATAATTCGGATACTAATACAAATATGGATATTTTCTCCCGGATACGAATACGAATATGGTATTAGGGTTTCCGTCGGATACGGATAATAATTCGGATATCCGGTGAAGTCATGAGACATACCCCATCTCTTTATAGAGTAACTCTATGACCTTCAATATATCTTTTTAGATTTTAATAGTTATTCATCTCTTAACATTAGTCCACACTATTAACACTATTTAATTTTTTAAAGATATTTATAAATTATACTACATTTTATATAAAATGAGCTAATTATATATGTTGATATTTGTTTCTATTAGAAATTGAGTTGGTTTTTGTGTTCCGAGAAAAAATTGTTTTTGTATTTGTGTCTGATCATATTCGATTTTTATTCGTATTTGAGATAATACGTATTTGTTTCCCAGCAAAATAATACGAAAATAAATATGATATGAGCATTATCCATCCCTATCCACTCTGTTTCATCCCTATGTGGGACCTAAGGTCGGAGCCACCAACTCCAAGCATTATAGTTCTTCGATATCCATCGTTCAATGCAATCCAACCTACAACTTAATAAAAGAGGGACAACATGTCTAGAGATTAATCAGTTGTGCAAAGATCGATGAGACAAATGATCTAAGCATATGTGCTTAGGGATTGGGATTGTACATTTAGATTTCAGTAAAAACAGTTTATTTATTTTACATCAGTAAAATCTTATTTTATGGACTCATTGGTACATTTCTTGTATATGGTTGTTTCTATTAAGGCGACTATTTAGTAGTTCCATCTTTTATATGACTTGTATATTCCGACCAATTTTTACCATTATCATAATAATAAGTATAAATTTGGAAAAGATATATTAAATGCGGACAGTCAAAGAATATGGAAAGAAATAAGTTACCTATTCTTGGATTATAACAAAGCAATTTTTGGATTTTAAAGTTTGATTTTTAAGAATACTTTTAGTTGGGGCTTTTACTTATTGTTTTGCAATTATTTAAAGAGAGTTAGTCAAGGAAAATGAAGAGAACACCTAAAAACAAGCCTAATATTAAATTTAATAAAACTAGCTTCATATTGTAATCATGATTTTAACTAATGATTGGTAATCATATTTTAGGTGTGTGCTGAGTTAACCACTCGGGGCTGTTTTGGAAAAAAGGAATTTTGAAGGGTTGGATTCTCCTATATGGTCATTTGGAAGTTGGAACAAAGGAATATCTTCCCCAAATTTCTTTAAAGTTCCTTAGGATTGTCTCGAATCAAAGGAATTTTAGAGGATTCTCAACAAGAGGTTCTACCTCTTGGAAAAAAAATATTCTGTGTGTCCATCTCTCTCCTCTAATGACTCATTTATAACGTAGAATAGAAAAAACGTAGGAATAGAAAAAATATACAGGAATTGAATGTCATGTCTAGCCAGATTCTACGTGTTTTAATAGTCCATAGAAAAACCCCAAGAATTGTGGATAAAATACCTCATTATAATGAATACAAGATGAGAGATAAAGAGATATGTTGCCTTTGGACTTTAGAAAGGAATATAAACTATGAGCTTTAATGAAATGTTTAGAATCCTCTAAAAAACGAAGAAAAGGAAGCAATCCTATAGAAATTTTGGAACCCATTCCTATAATCCAAAGATCTTATATGAAAATTTTCTATAGAGCAATCCTTTGAAATTCTTTCAAATTCATTTATTCCAAAGTAGGTCTAATTCCTATGTTTTCCATGCGCTTCGTCCAAATTTCCACGTGTTTTTTCATCTAGAGGATTTGAGATTATAAGTTACTCTAACCCTATGTTTTTTCTCTAGTAATTGAGATGATAGTATAAATAGATAGTATGATTTATTGAGGAAGAAAATATAAATGATATATATTAACTCTACTGTTAAGTAGAGTAAACATAACCGAAAAAGCAAAGGTAAAGGATTCGAGCTATGAACAAAGACAAATCTTAATGAGAACAAATACATGTGCCACCCACAGCCAAGATTTACCTGTTTTCAGCATATAGGCTGAGTAGGTTGTATGGGAGTTGGAAACTTATCTTTAATGCACGTAAACGGAATGACTCATTAGCGAATAATTAATTAAATATTAGCATTTTTAATAAAAAAAATTAATATGATTTTTTAAAGCAATTTATTATATACTTTTTAAAAAAACGTGCATGCGAAAATTGAATGATTTAAGTTAGGAATTTTAAAAAAAGAACTCAGGTATACTCTCTCCGTCCAAAAAAAAATCCAATCTAGTATTGGATAGGACGTTTTATAGTACAATGAATCTAAACAGAAGTATATATACGTTGTAATAGAAATGTCTAATCCAATAATAGGTTGAGTTTTTTTTGGGCGGAGGGAGTATAGAATAAAAGAAAAACGCAAAATCTATTTCGAGAGGCATCTCGATTTAGACTTAACGAGCGACGCGGACAATTACGTGAGAAGTACTGCAAGCGTTACAGACATGCATGCAAGTAGTTTTTGCTATTATGTTGTGCATATTTTTTTTCTTCTTATAAAATTTTCTCTTAAATTACTTATCCGATCTATAATCCGATTACACCATTGTGTTCGTAACAATTAAATCTTTACAACAAGATTTCACATGATTATATTTTGATGAAAAATCACAACTTTTATGATATGTCTATATTACTTTTAGATTTCACTAAGTTACTTCTTATACATACAAAAGTAAATTCAGTAAAGCCTAGAAGTAATTTACATATATATATATATTATAGAAGTAACTTAGAACAAAACGAATGTAACTTTGGCATATCATTTGAAGTAAATCCGTTGTAGAGATAAAAACATGACTCTATCTAGAAATTAGATTAATCAGCACAAATTATGAAATTAACTAAAAACAATAATTAAAGTAATCACCTCAGAGCATTATGAATGTATAGGAAGTATTTTAATTAAATCTAAAAGTAACTTATATATATGATAATTAAATATATGATAATTTGTTCAATGAAAAAAGGTATTAATTAAAGTTACTTTCTTTTTTTTTTATAAGTTACTTTTATAATATATGTAAATTACTTTTAAGCTTGACTGAATTTACTTTTGTATGTATAAGAAGTAACTTAGTGAAATCTAAAAGTAATTTAGACATATCATAAAAGTAATTTGTAATTTTTCATCAAAATATAATCATGTGAGATCTTGTTGTAAAGATTTAATTGTTATGAACACAATGGTATAATCGGATCGTAAATTGGATGAGTAGTTTAAGAAAAAATTATATTTAAAGTATAGGTGGACGGTGTTTCTTAGCAGTAGCTGTGTAGTCACGTCCAAAGAAAAAACAGATAGAGGCCGAGGTCGGCCCAACGGGCCTGACGAACACAGGCGCACAGCGGACAAATCCTCTAATAATTAACCCGTCACACTTTTTCCCCCCTTCTCTCATAAAAACCCCCACCCCCCAACAGCGAGCGAGCGAGCAAGCGCGCCCCCGCCACGCCTCCATCATAACGCCACCGCCACGCTCGCCACGCCTCCCATCCGCTCCACTCCATTTCAAATTCTCGCCACCTCCCCCCCGCATTTCGACGAACACCTTCGCCGCCCACCCCCCGCATGTCTCCGACCGCCACCCCATCCCCCGCGCCCGCCGCGGTGGCGGCAGCGCCCAAGCCGCCGCCGTCGGGGACGGGGGCGAAGCGCAGCCTGATGTCGTCGCTGATGGAGGCCACCGCGCTGCTCAGGTCGTCGTCGTTCAAGGAGGACTCGTACGTGGCGTCCGCGCTCCCGGCGTCCGACCTCCGCGCGCTCGCCGACCTCAGGGCGCTGCTGTCCACGCACCCGGACCCAATCTCCATCTGGGGCGTGCCGCTCAACCCGGCGCCGCCCCAGGGCGGGGAGGGGGCCCCGGCCCCGGCCGCCGCCGCCGACGAGCGCGCCGACGTCGTGCTGCTCAAGTTCCTCCGCGCGCGGGACTTCCGCGTCCGCGACGCGCACGCCATGCTGCTCCGCTGCGCCGCGTGGCGGGCCGAGTTCCGCGCCGACGCCGTGCTGGACGAGGACCTCGGGTTCAAGGACCTGGAGGGGGTCGTCGCCTACATGCACGGCTGGGACCGGGAGGGCCACCCGGTCTGCTACAACGCCTACGGCGTCTTCAAGGACAGGGACATGTACGACCGCGTCTTCGGCGACGGCGAGCGCCTCGCCCGCTTCCTCCGCTGGCGCGTCCAGGTCATGGAGCGCGGCGTCCGCGCGCTCCACCTCCGCCCCGGCGGCGTCAACGCCATCATCCAGGTCACCGACCTCAAGGACATGCCCAAGCGCGAGCTCCGCGCCGCGTCCAACCAGATCCTCTCCCTCTTCCAGGACAACTACCCTGAGATGGTCGCGCGCAAGGTAACAAACATACCAACCACTGTCTTGTTTTCTAATTTCTACTTACCGCCGCCTCAGGCATTTCGTCGAACACCTACCTGACTCTGGCACTGCTTCCTCGCAGGTGTTCATCAACGTGCCCTGGTACTTCTCGGTGCTGTTCTCCATGATCTCGCCGTTCCTCACGGAGCGCACCAAGAGCAAGTTCGTCATCGCGCGCGAGGGCAACGTCGCCGAGACGCTCTTCAAGTGAGCACCATTACACACCATTTCGTTCCCCATTTTGCTCGCCGCCGTCGCCGCGACACGCAGTTGATTCTCGCTTTGCTCACTTGCAGGTTCATCCGGCCGGAGCTGGTGCCGGTGCAGTACGGCGGGCTGAGCCGCGCCGGCGACCTGGAGAACGGCCCGCCGAAGCCGGCGTCCGAGTTCACCATCAAGGGCGGCGAGAAGGTCTTCCTAGAGATCGACGGCATCGAGGTATTACACTTCTTGCTCCTCATCATCATCTTCCCACATTGGGAGCTCAGATTTTAACTAATCCTACAAGGCCTTCAAACAAAATTTTGCATAGTTTACATCAAAAGTTGAGTAGTGAGATCTTTAAACTAGTCCTAAGTTCCTAACCACAACAACTTCTACTTTGGCTTATCCACCACCCCCTTCTGCTTGTCTCACTCCGGGTCGCCATTTGCCAAATCGGGAGCCTAAACAATTTGCAATCACTCACCCATGTTTTGCGACTAATTAAGTTGTGTGCTCGAGATGGAGCAAAATACTAGCCAGTCAAGGCAAGAACTACAACGAGGGATTATTGAGCACCGGTTTTGCTTTGTCCTAGGTATCAAATTTATAATCTTTTGGGCTCACCACTCCCCAACCCCAATGCGATTAAAGATTTGCAGTACTACCAGCACAGCGCAGCACTACCGTTTCTGCCTCTGTTTTCTCTCTGTCTACTCCAATGGCAGCGGCGCAGGCGCATGTGAGGGCCCTCGCCCAGTGCCCACTATTTGGTGTCTCTCCGGGTTTTTTGAAAGGAAATTGCGGTAGGATCAACGACCCGACTGCCATTGCCAGCACGCTGCAAAAGCTGACCCGGGGGGGGGGGGGGGGGGGGCTTCGAGCTGCGTGTGTTCTTGCGTTGCGTTGCTACCACACCAGTAAACGCTGCGTCAACCAGCGGTAGGAGCAGTAGAGAGCACAGTACAGTAGCACTAGTACTACTAGTAGCACTATACTATTGGCTGTGTTTAGTTATTAGATCCAAAGTTTGGATCTAAACACAGCCTATCCTCTGCAGCTGCACACCTCTAGTATATAGCTGACACGATGACTACTCTGCTTCTTCCCTTTTCCTGCTTGCAACAATAGTCTTTCAACTGTTCACATGAAGAGCGAGAGATACAATACAGCTTGATTCCGTCGTCACAGGGCTCACACACACCTGCAGCTAGTAGCATCTTGTGACCGGAATTACTAGTGAACGGTGTGTGCATGTGAGCTCCTTGGCAATGTGGATTGAATTGCCCAAGCCGATGAGCATGAAGGAGGAGACCGTCGAGAAATTCTTCTTCTGCGACGAGATAATACCCCCCGATGCCGATGGTGCTGGAGCGGCGGCAGCAGCAGCAGTGCTCCTTTTGTAGCTTTGCTTTTGTTTACGGTTCACGCCACGGCGCGAGTTTCCACGCGCTGTCACCTCTCACGCTCACAGCATGACAGCGAGGTGAAAAGTGGGGGGAAAAAATGAGTCACTCCTTGCTTGTACTAGTACAGATTTTTTTAGCAGGGTAAAAAATTATAGTGGTAATAAAAGCGTTGGCTAGTTAAACCTTGTCTTCGCCTTCCCCGATTGGCTGGTTGAGGTGTAAAAACCTTCAACGGAAAAGGGTGATTAACTTTGGGAAGGGTTGGGGCAGTTGATGTCGATGATCAGTGTGATTCAGTGTTTGCTGCTTTTCTTTAACCGCTGTAAAAAAACTTGCCCACTGTATTGGATTCTGCCAATGCCGAAACGTTTCATGTGAACCGTGTTGCACATGGTAGGACCAGCTTGTGAAAGAAAACCATGTAATCTTGTGATCCCATGGATGGGACTTGAGTGCGTGGCATAATTACATGCAAGCGTGAATCTTTTGTTCTATCTGGGTAGTAATAAGAACAACAATAATAATCCATGATTTGGGGGATAGATTGATTTTGATCGCCGCTGGGGGCAATTGTGTTTTTTATTTCTTTTCAGGCCGGCGCGACGATAACGTGGGACCTGGTGGTGGGCGGGTGGGAGCTGGAGTACGGCGCGGAGTACGTGCCGGCGGCGGAGGACAGCTACACGCTGTGCGTGGAGCGGACGAGGAAGGTGCCGGCCGCCGCCGACGAGCCGGTGCACAACGCCTTCACGGCGAGGGAGGCCGGCAAGATGGTGCTCTCCATCGACAACTCCGGCTCCCGGAAGCGGAAGGTCGCCGCCTACCGGTACTTCGTGCGCAAGCCGTCGGCGTAGAAGGCGGCGGCGGCGGCGGCCAGTGGAGTGCTTTGCATCGTTGCTTGGCTTTGAAGAGGGAGAGGTTTAATTTAATTTAGGGGCTACTTAATTAGTGCTATAACGACGTGCATGTATTAATGCCATATGTAGAATATAAATTGTAAGAGCTGTCACAACGAACTTATCATCATCCTTATAAAGCTTCGAGTTCACTGTTTTTTTTGGCTAATTTATCATTGTCCATGCATACATATATACCTGCAGAAATCAGGCTTATAGTACAGAGAAGTTGCTGAAAATTGACAACTAATAAAAGATGCAAAGCAAATACTAATTAAGTTTCTGAAAATTACTACTACTACAGTACTTCAGGTGTTGTCAGTCTCATGAAGCTAATCTGCATATACCCCCAAAAGGGAAGAATTTGACTGCAGTTGATAGTGCTAATCAGTGACTAGTGACTAGTAGTACTAAATCCAAAAATGTACATTTGCAGGAAAAGCCACTAATGCTACGGGATGTGAGACCTTTGTATGCGCAACACAACACTGCATTTATGACATTAGGGACAAGCTAGAACAAGACAAGTGACTGACAGTGGCTTAGCGGTACAAAGCCTGTCTACGTGCTACAATCGCCCTGACCACTTTGTGGATCAACGCGATGCAAAGGGTCTTGGGGGGGGCATAAAGAGGGCTCCTTCCTGGCGGTGTCTTCAATTAATCATGCGATTGTTGGTTAATTACATTGTCCAAAGAGCGTACTTATAATTGGCATGTTTAGGCCGATGCAGCCTGCAGGTTTTAATTAAAGGAGTCCCCGGATGCATGTTTTATTTAACGTGGATTCTTAGCATGATATGCAATTGATTGTTAGCGCTATGCACAGATTAATATCAGGATATTAGTATTGAAGTTTTCTCATTGATCATTAATAATACTTCATCATCCTAAATGGAAAAAGAAAAAATACTAATTACCCCCGAACTATCGAGGTAGTCCGAATTACTCCCGTGAACCATAAAACCGGACATTCTTCACCCCCAACTATGCAAACCGGACGAATTACCCACCTCAACCCAATCCGCGGTGGTTTTGATCTACATGGCGTACACGTGGCAATCCAGTCAGCATTTTATTGTGGGGCCCACATGTCATATATATACTCTATCTATCTCATGTCTCTCTCTCGGGCCGTCGGGCTCAGCTCTAGCGGCGCGGGCAGACGGCGCGCACGGCGCCGCGTAGGGGCGGGTGGTGGGCGGCGGCGGCGGGTCGACGAGCTCGGTTGGCTCCGGTGGCAGCGGCAGTGACAGCGTCCACGGCGGGACGTGGAGCAAGGCAGCGGCGGCGACATCCTTGCCCCCGTCACGGCGGCGCGGAGCTCGGACACGCCGGCACTACGGCGGCCGCCCCCTTCCCTGCGCGCCGCCGTCCACCGCAGTTGCCGCCCCGCCGTCGACGCGTAGCTGATGACCCCGGCCACCGTGGTGTTGTACCGTAGCCCGTGCGCCGCCTCCACCGCAGTTGCCGCCATCGCCGCAGCCTCGCCCCGCCCCGACAAGCGCGACAGGGCCGTCATCCACCGCCCCCCCCCCGCGCGCGCGTCACCGTCCACCGCCCGCCCCCGCGCGTCGTCGTCCGGCGCCTACCGCCCGCTCCCACGCGCTGCCGTCCACCGTCCGCCGCCCGTCCCTCCCCGCGGCGGGCAACCGGTAGGCTGTGACAGGAGCGACGCTAAGGTGGGAGGCTGCCGGGATAGAAGGTGGGCGCGAAGGAAATGGCGAGCGGCGGTCGCGGGAACGGCCTCCTCCTCCGCCGCCGCCGCCGCCTCCCTTTTCCGCCTCTCTTCCTCTTCCTCCCCGTCCTCCTCCCGATGCCGCTCCAGCTCCCGATGCGCGCTCCGTCTGCCGTCCCCCATCCTCCTCCCGACGCTTCCGGCTGGCTCGCCTCTCCGCCATGGCCGCTGGCGCCCGCCTCTCCCCCATCCCCTCCACCTCCCCGCACGTCACGTGCGCGCCGACCGCCGACCCGCCCCCCACTCAGCCGCCCATCGCCCTTCCCCGCGCCACGCCATGCGTGCCGGCCGCCTACTGCTGACCGACGAAGAGAGAGAAAGAGGGAGAGGAAGAGAGAAAGAGGGGTCTGACATGTGGGTCCTACCATTAAAAATAAAATAAAATACTGACTGGACTGCCACATAGACCAAAACCACCGTGGATTGGGTCGAGGGGGGGTAATTCGTCCAGTTTGCATAGTTGGGGGTGAAGAATGTCCGGTTTTGTGGTTCAGGGGGTAATTCGAACGACCATAATAGTTTGGGGGTAATTCGTACTTTTTCCTAACAGAATAGTCTAAATATATATTAATCTCTCCGTCCCAAAATATAATAACTTTTATCCCTTAGCATTTGTCCCAAAATATAACAACTTCTCCACCGACGTTCTTTTCCCAACCAATCACAACTCTCCACCATTCACTTTTTTCACCACCTCCACTTTTCATTTAATCACAACCCTTTACCATTCACTTCTATCTACTTTCTTAATAACCGTGTCAACTCTAAAACTTCTTATATTCTATAATGGAGGGAGTAGTTACGTAGTTCTCCAATAGAAGTCCTCAAATCTGCTTGTACTATAGACAAAATCCTCTTTTTAAGATGGAGAGAGTACGTAATAATTTATACAAAATACCTACGGTTCTACGAAATTTACTCCTAAAATTTCGATAGGACACGATCCAAGCTGAAACTAGCCCTACATGATACATGTGATGGAGTGTGGGTGGTCCTACTAACCTTGCTTCTTGCCTCTCTTATCTGAGCTGGTCCTAGGAGTAGTACAAAGACGTAAAAAAAAAAAAAGAAAACAGAAGTGTTTATCACATCACAGCTCAGGGTCACAGGAAGGCAGGTGTGTTTGCATCTTTGTCGCTGGTCAATGTGTGTTCATATGCCCTGCTTTATCTTTTCTTTTTCTTTTCTATTTTTTCTTTTGGGGAACATCGCCAACGCTGCAAATAAAGCTGCCTCCTGCTGTTACGCATTGGTCCAGGAAGCAGGATTGGCGAGAGCCCCCGTTTGAAATGAAATTAGTACTCCCTCCGTCCCACAGTACTAAGCGATTCTAATTTTTTTGTTAATTTTTGATCACTTGTCTTATTTAAATTTTTTTAAATATAAAGGGTGAATAGCTAATTTAGTCCCTTAAGTTTTACACAAGGTTTAATTTGGTCCTTTCAGTTTTATTTTGTCCACATAGCTTCTCTAAATATTTGTTTTGTCTTGAAATCATCCTTGGGTCCACTTAATATGCCATATGGCTATTTCTAGTTAATATTTCTATTAGAAATGTCCCTTTTGCCCTTAATTTTTATACAACTATATACTAAAAAATAGAAAACCAAGATGAATAAACAATATTGCAGATGTGTTTCCCATTATTTCAACATGTGCACATGAAACTTAAGCAATTACTATCGTATATACTTTCTAGTACATAATTTATTTTCGTTTTACATAATTTACTATGCTTATTTATAAGAAAATCAAGCATGCAATTTTTCTCTTATATATGTGAATGATAGGGGTATAATTGTCATTTATCAATAGAGTTGTTGGTTCAAGGCCAAGTTTGAATTAAAATGAAAACTTGAAGGACTAATACGGATAGATTGAAACATCAAGGACCAAACTGAGCCTCAGATGAAACTTGAAGGACCACTTTGACTATTCACCCAAATATAAAAAACGAAAAGTTGTGCTTAAAGTGACGAGTAGTTAAACGTTGCAAGCAAAAACTCAAAATCCCTTATATTATGGGAGAGAGGGAGTACTACTACTCCGGGCATCCGTACATCGGAAAGTTCTCAATTTATGAACGATTTAAATGTCGCTTTACTATTTCCGGCCAAAAATAAAATAACCAATTAATCAATTATATAACGTGAAATTATCTATTACTCCTTTCATTTTAAAATATAGCAACATCGTTTAGCACAGTTGTAGCTATATCTCTATCAAAAGGCGAGTGAAGCCGGTTAAAGTGATCTCACGAAATAAACTAGAGAGATAAAACTAGATTTAGGTAGCTCCATAACTACACTCTAAGCCCAACCCATGAAGTTAAGTTTAGAAGTTGAAGTCTTACCAAATACTCCCTCCATTTCACAATAAATCGAATCCTGGAGGGAGGGGTTTGTCAAAAAAAAAAAAAAACGATTCTAGCACAAAAAAACCAGAAACCATCAAATCGTTTGTGGGCCATACTAATAAATACGGAGGGCAACAATATCTCACGTCTCCTCGTTCACACGCGCAAACCTTATCTCTTCCTAAGCCTCTCGCGTTTCTCTCTCTCTCGTTCTCTTGCGGCGGCATCTGGATGCACAACCTCGCCGATCCTCCTATGGTCCTACCCTCTCCACCCCTCTCCCCCTCCCTCCCGCAGTCCCGCTCCACCCCTCACTCTCCTCTGCCCACGATTTTCTGCATCCGATGCGGCGGCTGGGATGTGGCGGTTGAGGAAGGCCTGCGGGAGGCAGATCCTATCAAGGCGATGGTGGTGTTGGATGGATGCAGTGGCGGCGAAGGCAGTGGCATGATGTTTTCATGGAGGAGAAGGTGGAGGCGACTGGTGGATGCGGTGTCGTTGGCGGATCTGAGGCAGATTTCTTTTTTTTTCTCTATTCTTGGTTTTTCTGTGTTCTTGGTACTTGCTAGTTCATCCAGGTGAATTAAAATCATTTTTTCCAGATTGGAGGGATGTTATCTTTTCCGTCGGCAAGTGTACAAATTAGTTCTTGCATCTGAATTCAGAGCAATCCTTTTTTTTTCTCAGATTGCATCTGAATTAGTTCTTTTTTTCTCGGCAAGTGTAAAAATTAGTTCTTGCATCTGAATTCAGATGTCTCTTCTTTCGGCAGTGCAAAAATTCAATTTATTTTGCCTTCTTTTTTTTTTGTTATAGATGCTTCCTGTATGTGCTGTACTAGTAGTACTAATTAATGGATATAGATAGGGTCCGTGCTGATGAACGAATGTACTTAAATAAGGGTATTTTGGTATTTTCACCTTAGTCCTAAACTCACATCGGGAATCCAGGAATCGACATTTTCCGGGACGGAGGGAGTATGCCTTTAATGTAGGATAGGACACATCCTAGGCCCTGTTTAGTTCACACCAAACTTCCCCCAAATTCTAAACTTTCCATCACATCACATCCAAAAC